TGTCAGTGCAGAGCCTGATGTGAGGCTCGATCCCATGAACCATGGGATCATGTCCCCAGCCAAAACCAAGAGTCAGACACTTAATTGACTGAGGCACTCAGGTGCCCCAAGACTTGTTTTTATGAATGGGCACTGCCTAATAGGAAGGTAATTGGCCTATTTCAAATAGTCAATACAGACACTATATCTACTATCAACTATCTAGGTTAAGAGATTTAACATCCATATGACTTCAGACAAGGGCTCCCAGGAATTGAAATCATTACTTCACTTTACTTGTATGAATATTATTAGCCTATTTAGTTGACCCTGTAGAAAAAGTAAATGAAGAAAAAAATATGTTACATACACATACACATACACATACACATACACATACACACATTAAGTTCTGGGGTTCCAGGAGTGGAAAGATTTCTACTACTCCATTTTCATAGGATTTCATAGGATTTGTAGAAAGAAGTTGGCTAAGAAATTATTAAAATATGCTCACAGCAAATGCATTTATAGATGTGACAATAGCAAAAACCTTAGAGGGTAGTGTGGTGGTGTAAGATTCTTTTTTTCTTTTTTGGTTAAATCTGAGTTTGAGGGGCACCTGGGTGGCTCAGTCGGTTAAGCATCTGACTTCACCTCAGGTCATGATCTCATGGTTTGTGGATTCAAGCCCCATGTTGGGGTCTGTGCTGACAGCTCAGAGCTCGGAGCTGTTTTGGATTCTGTCTCTCCCTCTCTCTCAAAAGTAAATAAACATTACAAAAAAAAAAAAAAATTAATCCATGTTTGAATCCTCACTCTGTCACTTGAAGTCAAGTGCTCTTGGGCTGTCTTAACTGATTTCCTAAATTCCTAAGTTTAGGAATTACTAAAAAATTACTAAATTTACTAAATTACTAAAAAATAAGCTTAATAAAAAGAAAAGCCATAGTATTTACTTAGTGGTAAATGATTTATAGACTTTATTTAATTCCTTTAACAATTCTATGAAGTAGTTACTTTGCATATCTTCATTTTACAGACGAATACACTGAGACTTAAAGGGGTTAAGGAAATTGTCCAAGGACATCAGCTTCTGAGTTGCATCACTAAACATTAAATCCTCATGTTTTTTTATATTGCAAACTTCCTCTCAAATAATACTCTCTACATATTGCTATTTGTGATATTTCCTTAACATAAATTCATGTAATGTTCATGGTATATAGAAGAGTTTTAATAAATATCAGTTCCTCTTTGTATCTGTGCAGTACTTTTACTTTTCTCAAAGCAGTTTACATTTATTTCATCTGATCTTTACATTACTGGTAAGGAAACTGACCAAATGCTATCAACAAATTACCAGTAGAACTGCTCCGAGGACCCAGGGTTTCTCATTTCATATTTGTCATCTTCTCATCTCCATCCTGTTAAAATGATTACGAGAAGAGACCTTCATTTTTAACTTTTCTTGGGTCCTCCCTTCTTCTTTTAGGCTGTAGGCAGAAAGCCGTATGTGCTTATTTTCATAAATGAATGAGTGCCTTGATTTTACGGAAACTGATAGCACACGTTTAAAATGATTACTCTGTGTTCTTTAGGATCATCATAGGAAGGCCAGTCTCAACCAGACATTCCCTCTCCTTGCAAGGACAAGCCTTAATGGAATCTGGTCTGCAGAGTGTCTGGGCTGTGTGCAAGGCTGGTGTCAGAGCAAGTGCAAGCAAGTTCATGGAGCTCAGCCTTTACAACATCCTATAACTCAAACAGTCCTTCAAGGCACCACCCACCTTTTCCAGGGGGAATCTGTTGAAATGATTCTCTTGGAAGCAGCATGGAAATGGGGGGGGGTGGTGTTAAGTATGTGTTTTTGTATGTGGATGGGTGAGTGGGTGGAGACAGGGGTAGGACGGTGAGGGAGATGAGAAGCTAAGATGGAAAAAACAACCATCACTGCCACCAAAATATTCTGCTCAAGGATGAGGGAGTACATACACCCTACAGCTGTTAGCACTGTTCAGCATATTTTGCATATTTACATATACCAAGTATTTCCAAACAGCCTTGTGTTTGTTTTAAAATCCCACACGAAGATGTCTGGTAAAGCTGTCACTGGAAAGCTTATTTTCTTGGTGATGTTTGCAAAACTGTTTTTAAAATTCTGTATATACATCATAAACCAAGCAGAAGAGTTAACTGTCATTACCAACATTATAATCTAGACTAGTCAGACGACATTCAGAGCAAAACACCCATGTTCTAAGGCCTTTAAAGAAAGCACCTGTTGGTTGAAGCTGATTTAAAAAAAATTTTTTTTGGTTCAATACAAAATGAAACACAGAACATCACCCAGTGATACATAGTTAGTATTGAAACTAGCAAAGTGTGATTTTCTTAATTGCTGTTGACTCTCTTCTTTGATCTAGAAACATTTTCGGTTTTGTTTGTTTGTTTGTTTGTTTTGGCAAGGAACATGATTAATACTGGATGGATTTCGCATACAGCCATTTTCTTTAGGAAACATAAAACACAAAACCACACATAGCCCATTTGAAAAAACATAGGAAACTGTCAGCAGAAGGAATGGGGTAGTTTAGAGCTATATTTTCCTTTTAGCAAGATCCACAAGAAAAGGATAGAGTATCGTGTTTAAAGGGGAACAGATTTTGTATTTTTTGGCAAGATAATAAATCCTCTGTTGCTATATTTGGCTCCCTGCAAATAGTCTCTTTTACAAGTGAGAAGCAAAGATCAATGCTGGTGTTCTTCATTCAGCCACAGCCAAACTTGGTGTGGAAAGTAAAACAGTTGTGTTTGAGTGTTGTTTCTAAGATAGTCTAGCTCATTTATTGATCAACAGCATTCCAAAGCACAGGAACCTACTTTACACATTAAATGTATCAAAATATGTTTGCTTTCCATAATAGTTTTTCCACTGCTTAACTGATAACAGATGTAATGATTCAATCTGGACAAAAATGTAAAAGCTTTACCATGTCAATGTGGTCATATATAGATATTTTGTCAAATGTGTATAAGCAGGTCAAATGAGATGCTTGGAGACTTAGGACATCACAGGATGATCATGTTCCCAAAAAAAGGAAGCAAAACAATTAAATGGTAGTTGATTGTCCCCAGAGAAAACACACTTCAGCTAGGAAGAATCTGCACCAGATGTCCTTCTCTCCACCACCCCCCCACCCCCTGAGTGTTTGTCTGACATAAATACCACATAGCCCTTTAGATTCCAAGGCACTATAATAACCACGTGAAATGTTTGAAATAAGAACAGAAATTCCCTTTGTCTGCAATTATTTAAGTGAATGAAGACGAATCCTACACAAACGACCATTGCGAACATGGAACAAGCCTTGCTAGTTTCAGTGATGTATTAAATACTCCCAGATTATAAGGCTGGTAAAAAAAAATAATAAATAAATAAACTTAAATCTAATAATAATTGTGGTAGTAGAATAGTGACCCCTCCCCAAAAAAATACTCACATCCTAATCCTTAGAACCTGTGAATATGTTACTTTATATTTAAGGACTTTACAGATGTAATTAAATTAAGAACTCTGAGTTGAGGAGATTATCAAGGTAGAGCCAATGTAACTACAAATTTCTTTAAACATGTAAGAGAGAGGTGAAAGAGAGGGTCAGAATGATGCCTTGTGAGAAGGACTTGATGGCTAATGGCTTACAAGATTAGAGGGCCTTTAGTCAAGGACTCTAGAAACTTGGAACAGCAAAGAAAGAGATTCTCCCTTAGGGCATCCAGAAGGAATGCAGCTGACACTGATTTTAGCCTGAGAGCAGTGCCAAATGTCTGACCTACCAAGTGGTTAAGATAATAAATTTGTTTGAAGATGTTAAGATTGTGGTAATTTTTACAGCAGCCATAGAAAACTCATAACACTAGTCTAGTCTAAATATAGCAACAATTAAGAATGCCAAATTTGGGGCGCCTGGGTGGCGCAGTCGGTTAAGCGTCTGACTTCAGCCAGGTCACGATCTCGCGGTCCGTGAGTTTGAGCCCCGCGTCAGGCTCTGGGCTGATGGCTCGGAGCCTGGAGCCTGTTTCCGATTCTGAGTCTCCCTCTCTCTCTGCCCCTCCCCCGTTCATGCTCTGACTCTCTCTGTCCCAAAAATAAATAAACGTTGAAAAAAAAAATTAAAAAAAAAAAAAAGAATGCCAAATTATTTCACCTATAATGTTGGAGGGTCTACTGATTTAAACACTTATTTCTAGACTTTTACACTTCCACATTAAAAATTCATTTAATAAGAAAGTAGACACCATTGTAGGAAAACTCTAACTTCCTTCAAAAATACAGTCTTGGAATTTTCCTTTCTAGGTGTAGTTCTTCACTGTCAATGAATTGTAAGTTTTTGGTCTTGTGTGTGCGTGTGTGTGTGTGTGTGTGTGTGTGTGTGTGTGTGTGTGTGTGATTTTCCATACTACTTACAGCAAGTTCTGTATCAATAAGAGTAAAAACAAAACAACAAAATGTACTTTGTGTAAAGAGTCAATTGATAGCTTTAGAAGCATTGTATTAAAAAATTCACGGTGTGCCTGGGTGGCTCAGTTGGTTGTGTCCAACTCTTGATCCTGGCGCAGGTCATGATTTCACGGTTGGTTTGGTTGGTTCATGGGATCAAGCCCTGCCTTGGGTTCCAGGCTAGCAGCATAGAGCCTGCTTGGCATTCTCTCTCTCTCCCTCTCTCTCTTTCTCTCCCAAATAAATAAACATTGAAAAAACTTCAGAAGCTTCCTGTTGTTATGTAATTTAATACATTTCACTTGTTCTTCCATTATGAACACTTGTTTTATAACCCACTCTTCACTATTAACAACTTGGCCTTAGAAATTAACTTCATAAAAAAGACTCACTAATATTTAGCTTTAGTTTTCAAAGATATTTATAAACTCCTTAACTGGAGAAGAAGAAAACAGTGAGCTTGAGTTCATTTTCAAGAAAGGCAGACCAAACGAAAATGCTACATTAAAATATAAACACTAAATTCACATTAAATTATTTATTGAACAAATTGAAGGTGACAGTTTTTACTACAAAGTCCTCCATCATCTTATATCATTGACACATAGTTATGTGACCTGCATTTGAAGAGTGAATAGAAATATGAAAATGTCTCTTTCCACAATCCCAAGAAAAACAAACAAAAATTATGATTCCATAATGTGCTTGTAAACCCAAAAGTTTTATGAATTAAAGACTGACAACTAGGTAAGATTAGTTAATTTGTCTTTCTGGAAATGTAAAATTAAGATAGCATAAAATTGGTCATAAAACTCTCAAGTCTGGAATTTCATTGTATTTCAATGTTGTAAGATAATATTTCTATTATTATTTTCAGTTTACCTAACCAAGTGACAAATATAGTCTTCTACACTATTTTTTTATAAAAGTATTTCACCTTACCTAGATGTATATGATAAAAACAAATTAATCCACGTTTTCTCTTTCAATATATGCACTTTAAAATGAACAAAGAATTCACATGAATACTCTTCCCTATATTGTACATCCAGAAAAATGAATGGAATAGTATTTTAAAATCATATATAATATCCAAGATTGTAAATATCCTAAGAAATTAAATCATGTGTGTAAATAATTATTCATTTTTGCCCTAGACACAGCATAGAAAAAAAAAATGTACATCTCTACTAGTATAAAGAGATATCATTAGAAAAGTTCACATCTTATGCATACACCAAAAAAAAAAAAAGAACCCTAAAGAATCTTATATTCTAGAAGAGTTATTCTTAAGTCAAAATTTAGTAGTCCAAAAATTGTTAAAAAGGAAGCTACTTGATGGTGACTGTCCCTTTTCTAGAAGGTATCATTGTTTACTTACATAATTACACTTAATTCAATAGTATGCCTTGGACCTTTAAAAAGGACATTTACATATTATCGGATCAAGTTAATTTGCAATTTTGACTGAACATTAGTTTAATTATTTGAAACTATAAAATTTTTTCAAACAAATAAAAAAGCATAATGGACAATAAAGGAAATAAGAAAATCAAGATATTTTAATAACAATGGCTATTTCTATACTTTGGGAGAGTATATAGGAGTAAATTCCAAGAGAGCACTAAAAGAGAAAAGCCTGAAAGTCTGTTCTGTGACCAATGTCCATGACCAAGTTACTAAGGTAATTAAAGCTATTGAGACCAAGGTTTCCTGGAAGGGCCCACCCATACCCCAATCTTCAATCATCCATTTTTGTGTAGTTTATGTATTTATTTTCAACATACATCACTGAACTAAAACTATAACCTGATTTTTCTAAAATGACTTTAATAATACTTTTAGTACTTTAAAAATAAGAGATTTAAAGGGCTCTTAGGCCATGTTTTTAGAGAATAAAAGTAAATTTCTCAAAGAAGCCTTAAATTTTCTGAAAGATGTGTCTTTCATCCTGGAGGAAAGAAAAAACAAAACAAAACAAAATGAAACTGGATCCTTAGGATCCTGTACGTTAAAATCAGCAGGCTGATTTCAGTGGTCTCATACAGTTTCTGCTTTTCTGCTGTCCTTATGTCTGCTGTGAAGGTGATCCATCACAGGGATTCTAACTGCCATCAATACCCCTTTGTAACTGCAATGGCTCAAGCGAACTCTTTCCATCTTCAATAACTGACACAGTGTCAACATCTGCTTCCAATAAAATTGTTTCTTTTTTTCTCAAGCAGAGTAAATCTGCTGAAATCGTAAAGGGTTTTCTTCCCCCCCCCCTTTTCATGCAAACGATCTTTTTCCACCATATTCTGCAATTTTTCCTCCAAGGCAAGTAAAAGAAAAAAAAATGGATAACTTCAAAAGAGATGTTTTTATTCCAGGTGCTAAGGAAGCCCAAAATATAATTGAAAAATATAAACTTTGGTGATTTAATAAAGATGTTGCCTTGATTTGGGATCGTGGATGAATAAAACTTTGGAATATGTAAGCCCAAACTCACAGTTGGGGCTACATACCACTAAAAGGTTATTTTCTTTCATAAATGACACACTAAAGTAACAGAAATAATTAAGAAATTTACATTTTATCTTCAACAAATAGTAGTGGGCAAAGATTCTCTTGCAACAATTTGTCATGAAAAAGTAGTCATATATCTATTGGATTGCTGCAGAAATAGATATGGAAAGTATAGAGAAGGGACATTTGGGAGCTCAGTTTTATGACCTACTTACAAAATTGATAGATATTTGTGGTGTCTGTCATTTATTAAATAGCTATAATGAGACAGATATGATTGATCATATATATATATATATATATATATATATATATATATATATCATATAGATATGATTTCCACACTTCACAGCCTGCCAGTTAGGTATTATTATCTCACTTTCTTCATAAGATAAACCCCAAATCACACATATCTAACTGTGGCCAAGACAGAATTCAGAGAATACCTAATATACAAACCAATGATCTTTTCCATTAATTCATTCTACTTCTCTATTCATCCCCCAGTCAAAACTCCAGCATGTATACTTTCCTTTACCACCACCTAATGCCTCATTGACTTAATTTGGCAAATACAGTGTAACAAAGGGAGGGACACCCAGTAAGAAATAGAATTTAGTTTCTTAAAATATAGTTTCTGACTGCAACTAAACCAAAGAACAAATGCAAAAACTAGATAGATCCAGTCCTATTCTGCAAGTCTTAGAACAGGAATAGGAAATATGGTTTGCAAAATGAATAATGAGCTCCTCAAGGGCATGTTTTACACCAGTGCCTAGAATTTGTTTTGGTTTTTTTTGTTTGTTTGTTTTTTTTAGGTTTGTTATAAAGTTCAAAGAACTAATTCCTCAATTATTTGCAAACCACTGGTTCTTATTTGCAACATTTGGAGCAACCCTGGGCATTTTTGCTTAAATGACAATGCAAATAATTTTAAGGAGAAAGAGAAAGAAGAAAAATTACAGATGAAAGTTAGGAAGGGGATGATTAACCTTCTTAAGAAACATTGATTTTTAAAATATTTAGAGGCTCTTTCAAATAAACGATGAGGGACAAAGTAGCCTGTTGAGATCCAACTCATGAGTTGTTCATTAACTTATGATAGTGTAGTGGCCAAAGCCTGGATTAGATGTCAAATAAATGAGATGATTTTATATGGTTTAGCTCACATCTTCCAAAACCTTGAATAAAGTCTAATTTTTAAAATAGTCAAAGGTGGAGTGGTTTCAAATGATTTAGGGAGGAAGCTGGTAGCCTCTTTAAAGCAGGTTAGAAGCCTATAAGTTCAACAGCATCGTTTTGATGTGAGGAAAGGAGAACCAGACAGTGATAGCATTTTAAACTTAAGGTCAGAATATCATGCTAAATTACACCCCATTCTCTTTTATAACTTCTGGTGGTAAAGGTAAAATGATCATAACAAGGGGATGCCAGGCAATTATAGAGACATGCACTCTCTTTTTATTTAGACTTTGATCTATTCCTTATCTTGCAAGGATCTAATCCTTGCAATATGTCAATGATGTCTTTTCTCAACAAGAGACCTCACTTGCAAATCTTTCCTAGATACAGCAGAATTCAGGTCCCCAACTTTTCTTGGGCCCCAGAGCCAAGGAATGTTTCATCCTACATTCTACTGTGCACAATGTACCATCCTACAGTGGCACAGAACACAGTCCAAATTCAGGGTGAAGCTATCCAATTGTCTGCTCTCCTTTTGAATTCAATTCAATGGAGAAGAAGGAACGGAGCAGAGAGTTAATACTTTTCTTCTCCCTTAATTGGGAAAATCCAATTGCATGATCTGAATGAGCTGGAGTACAACACTGTTCTAAGAGAAACTGCAAAGGAAGTTAATAGGTTCCAAAGGAAGAGGAAGGAACTAAATAATCCCCAATGAGTCATCCCATGGGAACTGCTGAATACTTGTCTTTGAAAACTCAGGAGGACACAAGAGGAAACCAATTTTATAGATTCAATCAACTTCATGCTCCACAGATTGGACAAAGTACATACAACCATAACAAATAAAATTATAGATCAAAATATAGATAATTTAACCAAGCCACTCCCTAGAACTCAAAGTTCGTGTCATTAGTAAGTGGAAAATTCCTTAAGTTTCAACCTCACACTAGGTAAAAATATGCATATTGTGTTAAGGTGAGTCTAGGTAAGAAGAAGCAATTTATGGAGTGATAAGAATACAAGAGAGTGTATAGATTTATAACTCACAGGAGGCACCAGGAAAGACAACCAATGTAAAAAACAGAGATAAGGGAACTACTTTAAATTATCTGTAAGAACCCTGCCTAGCTGAGCAAAGGTTGTGTTGTTCTTATAGCTAAAATCTTTACACACAAGATATACACAATTGAAAATGGAAAGTGGTATTTCACTAAACACTGTATTTCATATTGGTGAAGACAAGGATGGGGGACATTTGAGAAACTTTTACCAAACTAAAACTTCTATATAGCCCTAACTCTTTAATGTGACCCATCTCTGGAAGCAGCTTTGAGAGAATGGACTTGAATCAAAAATCCTTAAAATTACTAACTGCTACTTTTATAACCCTAATCTTTTCCCAATAGGGTCTTAATGATAATTCCAACTTCACCTTATTTGGGTCCTGAGGGCCACGTCAAGTTGAATCCTGAGTTTTCATGAATAAATTTCAAATAATAAATGGCCTATTTATTACCCCAATTTAAGTAATTGTCGCATGTTCTAATTTAAATTTCATTTTACCCTAAATCATTTTCTTAAAAAGAGTTCAATCAACTAAGACCAGATTTAAACAACCAAAAAAAGACTTGAAAAAAACCTATGTTTAAAATCACATATACAATATATTATTTTTCAATATATAATGATGAGTAATGTCAGAAATAGCCACTGAATTAAAGGCTTGTGCTGTGTCTAGTACCCTCCCAAATATTTTCCATTCAAAATATCTCAGAAAATAAAAACGAAAACAAACAAACAAAAACATCCACTTAAAATATGACCTTAAAAATTGCCATGATTGAATAGTTAGAAACAAGGAAACTAAGTCACTGGCAATCAAAGGTAGCATGGGTTAATGTATTTTTTTTTTTCCAGTGGTTGGATACAAACCGGTTCCATTTATCAAAGTTGGATGGGCTAGAAAGACATATACTCCAGGCAGTCTCTCCCTCTGACTGAAAGTTGATGCAAACTTTCTTCTTAGTCAAACTCCAAGTACTCTTTGGGACAAATCGAAGTAATGAAATATCCTTTCTTTAGTATGGTCATTAAAAAACTTCCTTTTCAATCTATACACATAACTCAAAGCTAAGTGAGCTAACATGGAATTAAATCTTCGCTGAGATTTAATGTAAAACAATACTATCTTGGCTTGGCTATGCTGCTACTTTTGTAAAAAGGAGGAACTATCAAACACTTGAGGTAACCTAGAAAGCACAGAGCATATCACAGACATTTTAAAGACAAGCATTTTTAACATTTTTGCCAGTGCTTCTCTGAGAGCAAGTTCTTTAAACAGAACTTACCAATTTTTACAATATTAAAAAAAATACATCCCTCAAAAATAGCCCATCAATGCTAAATCAAACTTTCTGTATTCTACAAAAATAGATACACATAGAGCTACAAAATTGTATTCCTGAAAGGATGAGCATTTTCATGTCTGGTTCATCTTTTCCTGACAAGATGGTTGGTTCAAAAAGGAAAGAGAAAAAAAATCAGAATGAAACAAAAATTAAATCATGTATTGATAAAAGCGAGACAAAAAAAAAAAAAAAATTTTTCAAATTTTAAAAAGGCAAAATTTGGGAAAAAAAAAAAAAAAACAAATAAAAATGCTTTTCTTCAATGTCTAGGACCCACTCTGCTTTCTCAAGAAAAGGCTCCAAACCAAAGTTGGCTGGCTGACATTTCCTCTTCTTCTTCCATGTCTATTGTGTCCCACTGCAGAATGGGAAATCCTGGCAGCCTCTTTCCCAGTGGGCCCATGGATTCACACTTCAACCTGACTTGCTAATACTGTGTTTCAGTACCAGGGTGATTCCTTGCTCTTGTCTTGATGCTGTAGACCTAGAAAAGGTGACAGTGAGAAAAACGAAAAGAATTAGAACAGGAATCACTCAAAACTGGGCCTAATCTGCTAGACCAGAGCAGTGCTATTTGTGCAGTATAAATTCTTTACTGTGGTTTTCATTTTCTTGGAGTATAAATGAATAATCAATAAGATAAAATAATGTAAATGAAACCTTTTTACTTCTAATGTCAAAAGGAGCTGAAATTTGGAAAAAACAATGTAACTAATCTTTGGGGGAATTTAGGTAGCATCTCAGTTAATACTTTTCAGGAATAATAATGATACTTTTGAACTAAAATAGTAAATTCTGGTGCTATTTTGAAATGTACTCCACATATTTTGTATTGCTACAAAATATGGTGAGCAATTAGACATGGTTAAAAGCTGGATCTAGGGGCGCCTGGGTGGCGCAGTCGGTTAAGCGTCCGACTTCAGCCAGGTCACGATCTCGCGGTCCGGGAGTTCGAGCCCCGCGTCAGGCTCTGGGCTGATGGCTCAGAGCCTGGAGCCTGTTTCCGATTCTGTGTCTCCCTCTCTCTCTGCCCCTCCCCCGTTCATGCTCTGTCTCTCTCTCTGTCCCAAAAATAAATTAAAAAACGTTGAAAAAAAATTAAAAAAAAAAAAAAGCTGGATCTAATATTGCCAGTAAAATACACATAGTTGGTTCCCAGCTAATAGCACACACCTATATTGTTTTATAAGTTTACTTATTTTTTTCTCCAGAAAATATTTAACATGGCTTATAAAAATCTATACTTCATAGCAAGAAAATATGATTTACAGATAAGTTTCTAAAAGTAATAACAAAAGGAAAATAAGCGAACATGTATAGCTTCCAACTGAAAACTAAAATGAGTAGGAAGAAGTCTATCAAACAAGAAACAGAAAACGTGACTGATTTTGTTCTAATGGAGTCAGTTGACTAATTTCTGATATGGGCAATCAGCATAGCACCTTCAGCTTATACCCATTTGAAGTCACTTACCTCAGTTTCCTTTATTTTTGGCATAATCATTTGGAAGAATAAGACAGGGAACTGATTGCTCTTAAGTTGTTTAAAACCAAATACTAAAACTTAAAGGAAGGCTATGGACTAAGTGGGTGGAAATGTAACAGCACTGCCGCTGGGAGAGTGCTCAGATCACAGGATTTTTTCTTGATCCTTGATCTAAAATTGTGTTAAGTCTGGGCTGGTTGTCATACATTGAATGGTTAAATGAGCCAGTATGGTTCTAAATTGTGATTGTTACTAAAACAGCTGCAGTGATTTCATTTCTTGTCCCTCCAATTTGTCAAAGAATTTCACAAAACAATGAGTGCCATTACAGAACAGTCAATGATGGCAGACATTAAGACAATCTACAAAAAATATTACATAAAGGGAGAACAAACAGAAAAAGTCAAAGAAGCACCTCACAGAACCACAAGTCACTATCTAAATTCTACAGCACTTGCATACTGGGGAAAAAGCAACACTGGCTGAAAAAAGGTTAGTTCCATCTTAATTTTTTTTTTTTCTCATGTGACTAGTATTATGTTTAGATAGAGAGTCAATAGTTTTCCTTTCAAAAAAAAAAAAGAGGAGAAAGAGAAGACGGGAGAAAAAGGGGGGAAGAAAGAAAAGGACTTTGGAGTATACCAATTCACTGTAAATTTGCTTTACTTGTTTTCAAATGATCTTGTGGTCGGAATAATTTGCAACCTGACACAGTCTCTGTTTGGCGACTCTTATAATCTAAACCACCTTAACTGACAATCTGCTGACTGCATAAATATTTTTTTCATTATTGAAACGTCTCATCTTCTGTATGACTCAGTATTTCCACACTTGAAGACTCCATCAATCTATAGAATGTCAGCACGGCAAGTCATGAATAGTGTTGGAATCATCAAGCGGTTTCAGTGTCTTTTTTTGTCTTAAACAAAGGCAATCCCTAGTTTGCTTTGCAAAGACACATGAGTCCTTCAAAATCATGTTTGTCTTTTTCTGTGGACAAGTATTGCATTACTTAACATAGCTCTGCATTTTCCAACCAGAATAACAGAGGATATTTTCTCATATTAAAACTTCATCTCTTCAATTCTTTTGTTTCCAAGTCTTTGTATTACTCTAATGCAAACCTTAAAAAAGTCAATTCATCTGTGACCTAAAATTTATTAAATATCTGATGTGGTCCCTATGGTTTAGCCTCTTCTTGGTGATGGTACATTAAATCAGACCTTTGTTTTAATTACCAGGTATTTTGAAAATATCCATAACATTCAACAATAAGCATAAGTAAAACACAAGAAAGTGAACAACCACAAACAAAAGACCCTATTACTAATAAGTTGCAACAGACAGAGAAGTGGTGCTATGATTTTTCTTCTTAGACAATTGATGAAGATAGATCAGGATATTTAAGAGTCAGCTAGTACATTTAGTTTTCTCAACAAGAGTTAAAGGGGACAAAATTATTAACCTATTATCTTTACATGGTCTCCAGAACCCTTATGTGATCTACATACATTTGGGGTTTCCCCAACTTCTTACCAGAACACGAAATCTACTCTGCTGTAATTTTGATTCTATTCAGGCTTGTTTTGCCTCTCACTTTCCTAACTCAAATCTATGGGATATTGGTTCATAACATATCCTGAAATCTCCCCACTGGCTGCCTGAAATCACCCATGTTTTTCTTCTTGATACCAGTAACTCAGTTTTAATTTTATTGTTTAGTCTGTGACATTTTTAGTAGGAGGGAAAATAAACATAATAAAAATGTCAGTGAACATCTTCTTCGGGCTGAATATGACAGGCACTGTGTGAAGTACTTTACATGAAATATCTCATTTAATGCTCTCAACTATGCTACAATATTTATTTAATGAATGAGAAAATTGAGAGTAGGAGAAATTATGAAACTATTAAATGGTAGAGCTAGGATTTAAAACAAGGTGGTCTGATGTCAAGAGTCTAAGGTCTTTCTTAGTCACAATGTATATGTTCTCCCCCCATATGGATTATATTTGTCATAGACTATGTCACTAGCCTATACCACAACTCTGCAAGTCAAAATCCTTTCTTTAAAGCAATATGAGGAAAAAATAATAAAGTTTTATACTTCTTTTTGCACTGTTTAAAAATACTCTGATTTAATAGAATCAATATCAGTTAACAATATAGCTCTGTTAGTAATCTTTTTAAACTATAAATCTTCAATGTTTTTCCTAAGATGCAGTAACTGATTACACAGTTTACTATACACTTCAGATAAAGACTACTTCAATTGTGTAACAGCATATTCCACATTAACTGATATGATTTTTTTGATATATAACCTCCTCCCACTCCTCCCCCCCATAACTAAAAGAAACCTTCCCCAGTGTGAACACTGAAAACACAGGGTGGTCATTCGGTGGTTTTCAGAAATGGGAACAGAGAACAAATACATTCGATTGTTGGTTTCAGAGTTTGAGAATCTGGGATTCAGTTAGGAAAAAAGCCTGAATGGAAATGCAAGCCCACAGACCCAACTCCTCAATTCAGTTCCAACACCACTAACACCTGACCACCAAAACAAAAGGAAAAAAGGAAAAAGAATCCAGACTTAAGACAGCAAAGGAAATATGAACACAGAAAAGAAGTGTAGAATAATTAGAAGCAGGAGAGAAGTCTTGGTCAAGGAAGAAAGATTGTAATAGAATCTCCCTTTAAAATCTGAAGTATTTGATTATATAACAAGGCATCATAACTCATTTTCTCACTTTCTAGCTGAGGTTTTTGGGAGGCAACAGCTTCAGAGGCTCACGTCTTACAACAGACTCCAGGAATACGGAAGTATAGATAGCAACAAGGTGTGTCTAAGGGCGAAAGCCTGGAGACTTCCCCCTCTCTAGTTTCCCTCAACTCCTGGGTGTCTTATGAAAAGATCCTAAAGTTTCCATGTGTCCCCAGTATATCCAATAGCTATGATATGGGTACCCCGCAGCAGAAGACATGGCCCAAGAAACCCCAACTGAGAATCTTGGAAGAATCACAATGACTAGGAGATGAACTGGACTTAAATAGGTCATTACTTAGTTGGGCGGGGGGTGGGGGGGGTGACTGTACAGAGAATGCCCTGAGAAACAGAGTAGGGGGAGGGAATATGTTTGGAAACACAGGCCAGGATAGGAAGGAAATGACAAAACCAAGCAGCAATCAGCAACCTCTTAATTGACAGTTTTTGTGAAACAACTGATTCTAGGAATACAGAGGCAAACTCAGGGAGAGGGTGAGGAAAGAATCTGAGAGGAGGTGTCAACTCTAAATTGGACAATGCAATAAACTGAGAGCAGCAGAGATATCATTAGACTAAGAATACTCAGAATTAATTAGGTTAGGTTTTCTGCTATTGTGTAGAAATGAATAATCAATTAAGTTACTGAAAAGCTACACTCCAGCACACCTGAGTTTTAGGGAATGTTTGATTGTCAGAGTCACATCCACTATGAAAGCATGTCCTACTTCTAAGAAAGCACAATCACTTGCCAACACCATTTACTATAGCTCTTAAGGAAGTTGAACATGCTTCCAACTAATTTTATTGCTATAGATAAGATGTAATGTGGTAACCATATACTGGGGAACATGATCGTGATAAAAAGAGAAGATGAAAAATAGGAATGTAAAACCTGGAAGTGTGGGTAGAATGTTTTATGACCTGAAAGTCAAGAAATGCTTAGATGCATAAAAATAAACTTTTCATTTCACAGGTACTAAGAGTCTAGATACTCTTTTGGATCAAAATTCTTGCCATTAGACTAAAAGAAGCTGGTAGCTTATTCCTACATTAAAAAAAAAAAAATGAATCCCCTGCTTTATCCCTGCTTTAATAGAGATAAGTCATATTTATTATAAATACAAATATATCTTGTGTTGGATACTGTATCAAAATATCCAACCTTTACCAACAACTTGACAGGTAACACTGACACAGTGACAAATGATCACAAACCGATGCGAGAGACAGTC